TAGAAAAGGGCAGTGGCAAGCCATTTTTATATCGTGCAAGAAAATCTGCATGGGTGTGTTAATATAAATATACCAGGAACACCCCAGCAAGTAGTAACAGCAAATTTGTTTATTTACTTATATTATTTAATACATGTAGCCACCTATCTCAATCATGTGATTCTAAGGGGCTTCCAATAAAATACCTGACCTTGGATGATCTTGAAAACTGTAGCCATGGTCAGCTCTTGGATAGAAGGTCCTAAGAATCTTAAGAATTTCAGGATTATGCTGGGAAGACCAGCCCTTCCTCCAAGGCAAAGGACTTCAGTTCATAACAGTTGGGAAGAAAAAGTATGCCACTTTCATTTTTATAAATCCTACGTACATATGCTCTCCCTATCAGAATATATAAATCCTTCATTCATCCTTAAATACATCAATTCTGTCCTCATTTACATCAGATAACGTCAGCATCCAATATTATCAACTGCATATTGGGAGTTCATTTGCCTGCTTAAATAAATCACCAGCCAGATATTGAAATCATTGAAGTTATTTTTCTATTCAGGCAATAAAGTCATTCCTTTAAAAAAAAACTAATAAAATCATATTTGGTTCTCATCTTCTGAGAATGTTTTGCCTGTCTTGCTGGACCATTAGATGACAAAGAATTTTATGATTCTCTTCACTGCCGTCTAACCATCCCATTTTTGCAGTCTCTTGAGTCTGAAAGACATACAACTTTAATAAAGTTGTTAGTTTAGTTTCTCTTTGACTTGTCAGTGGCAAATGAACTAATTGCTGATCAAGTGGTTGTATCATGAGAAATTTTTAGCTTGTCTATGACAAAAAACACAATGGTGTATCTTTCTTCCATATCACAGCCCCTCAAATCTCAGCAGTGATGGTAGAATATAATTCACAGAATAGCTGAGCCCAGGGATTCAAGGTAGGTTACAAGATAGCCAGTCCCATCCTCTATCTCAGTGTTGGCGAACCTTTTCGGCACCAAGTGCCGAAACAGGAGCACGCAGAAACCAGAAGAGCAGCTGCCCAACGCACATGTGCAAGAGCGCCGGAAACCGGAAGAGCAGTTCCCTGGCTCTCATGCACGCGCGGGGAAGCTGAGCTTCCGGTTTTCAGCATGCGCATGCGCGCTGGTCGCCTGGTCTTCTGGTTTTTGGCGTGCATGCATGTGCAAAGACCAGCGCACATGCATGCCGAAACCCAGAAGAGCAACAGGCGACGGCTGGCGTGCATGGAGAGATGGCTCTGTGTGCCACTTCTGGCACGTATGCCATAGGTTCGCCATCATGGCTCTTCTCATAGTTATTTCCTAGCCCCTACCACCCAAAATAGCTGCTTCCCTCTGCACAATGATAGGGCTGAGCCTATGCTGTACAGTATTGCAACGTCTGCATGCCATCTGTGGCCAATAAGGTTCTGCTTGTTCCCAGAGGACAAAGGAATTAGGCTTGTGCAAAAGAATGAATGCAATTTCTTACATTAAGAAAAGCAATATTCTGAAACTGGTGACAAAATACTTCTGCTAACAGACAAGTTGCTATGCTGCAAGAAAACCATTTTACAGAGGATATTTCACCAGGAATAGATTAACTAGAATTTATCAGTAAATTTAGTTCTGTTTAATTTGGACTTTATTGGACCTGTAAGATCCTACAGGGATGCGGTGGCTCAGTGGCTAAGACGCTGAGCTTGTCGATCGAAAGGTAGGCAGTTCAGCGGTTCGAATCCCTAGTGCTGCATAATGGGGTGAGCTCCCATTACTTGTCCCAGCTTCTGCCAACCTAGCAGTTTGAAAGCACGTAGAAAAATAGGGACTACCTTTGGTGGGAAGGTAACAAGATTCCGTGTGCCTTTGGTGTTTAGTCATGCCGGCCACATGACCACGGAGACTTCTCCGGACAGCACTAGCTCTTCAGCTTTGAAACGGAGATGAGCACCGCCCCCTAGAGTCGTAAACAACTAGCACATATGTGCGAGGGGAACCTTTACCTTAAGATCCTACCCTTCATGCAAACATGCAATTTGGTTACATTTTCCTCCATTTCTACTCAGAAACTTATAAAAGAGAACATATCAAAACCCCGAAGTATAAATTTAAAATGGTAATATAAGTAAATTTCAAAAATTGTTAACTGCTACTGGAATGAATTCTTCTCAACTTGCAAATACTTGGGTTTTGCAGAGAATCTAGATATACCAGTACACAGTCCTTAACAACCCTTCATTTAGTGACCATCTGAAGTTAAAACTGTTACAAAATGTAACAGTTGCATGATCAAAATTTGGGTGTTTGGCAATCAACATATATTTGCAAGTTGCACTTTCTTCGAGCAAGGGTGTGTGTGTGGGTGTACATGCATACCTTTAAAAAAAATCCTCACCCCTAAGGGTGGTCTCTTCAGTCTCAGGCCCTTTACTAGAGACTTGGGAATTTGTTCCTATATATAGTATCTTAGCTGTTCCTAGTACTGTACTCTTTAGGACAGAGAGCTCTGATGTTGTTACTGGGATCGATTGCAGCTATTCTGCCAGTTTAGGAATCACAGCACTGAGCACTCCTACCACCACTGGGACTACTTTGGTCTTTGTTTTCTCCATCCTCTCAAATTCTTCCTTCAGGGCACAATACTTCTCCAGCTTCTCATACTCCTTTCTGATGTTGACACTTGCCACTTAAATATATCACCACTGCTATCTTCTGGTCCTTGTCTACTACCAGTGTCTGATTGATGGGTAGTACCTGTCAGTTTGAAATGTGTTTGAATATTAGTAGCTCGGGTTGGTAGTTAGGCTGTTGGTTTGAGCTGAGCTTGGCAATTTGGTTGCAAACATTTTGTCACCATTCAAGGAAACATTGTCAGTGCGTTTTGAGTTGTGCTCATCTGTCAGAACACAGGTCTTTAAATACCTTTTTATAAGATGCAAATTAGTCTGAATGTTGTTTGTTCGGATATGAACAAACAACATTCAGATTAATTTGCATCTCATAAAGATTTTTAAAGACCTGTATTCTGCCAGATGAGCACAACTCAGTACACACTGCCGATGTCTCCTTGAATGGTGATGAAACGTTTGTAACCAAATTGCCCAGCTCGGAGCTCAAACCAACAGCCTAACCTGTCTGTTTGTCTGGATATGTAAATCCTACAGAATATTAGCCCTCTTATTCTCCAAAACCTTAAGTGGAATCTCCCATTTAGACTTGGGAGGGTGTAGCCCATGCACTATGTAGATGTTCCTGTACACAAGGTCAGTTACTTGTTGTGCTATTCCATGTATGCTGTTTCTTGGTGGCATTTTACACTCTGGCGGTATGCGTTGCACTGTCTCCAAGACCTGTCTGCACAATCTGCACTTCGACTTCTGGTCCTGTGGTAGACCCCTGCTTCTATGGATCTGGTGTTTTGTGCCTGTTCCTGTGCTACTATGATCAGTATCTCAGGGCTCAGCCACTTATAGGATGGATGAATGGGTAGATGGATGATACACATACCTCCAATAGAAGACACCACCAGGCATCTGATGTAGTAGAATCCATTTCATGAAAATATAGGCCATAATCAGTAAAGTGTAAAGGTACCCCAAGATTTTTGTTGCTGTTGCTTTTCCTAAAAACATGCTTTTCCATGTCCCATAAATTGGCAAAAATAAACACAACAGAATTCAGGCTGGACCAGACTTAAAACTCTTCAGAAGTGATCTTGCTTACTGAAGATAAATACAGATATAAATTAGGCAGAAATGAACCGCAGTGTAAAAGCACAGTTGAAAGTCAACACCAGTGTCTGTTAAAATGAACACAAGAGCGACTCCTTGCAAAAAATGAAAAAGATAAACTTGGTTCCCCAGAAAGCCTGAGGTATATTTTTTATTAGTTGAAGAACAATCTGCTTAAGCGAGGATTCCTGGTCATCTCACCAAAAAAGAAAAAAGGCTTTCTTAGCCTAATGTATTTTCTCCTTGCTATTTTTACAGTACCGCCTCTTCACTTCCTTTGCTACATTTTTTGAGGCCTAATCATGGGAGGCCTCTCCCAATGGAAGAAGCCAATTCTTTTTGAGTTTACTTGGTGCCAATTTTCCTGTCCCTTCAATCAATAAACACAACTGTTTGATGAAGTTGGATCAGGACAGCCCTTCAGGCAGGCCTTGTAGTACCAGTATCTGACCTGCCTGGGGGGGTTGAGAGAGTGAAGGAGCACTGGATAAAAAAAAAACTGATCCTTGAAAAGCCATTTGGAAGTAAAACGAAAGAACTTTTGCAATTCATTTTTGGAAGACTGCCCTGAAATTCCTAACAGTGTCTACTCAAGTTTAACTAAGGTCAATCAAGCTCATTTTGCCTAGGTATGACCCTAAGCTAGGGCAAAGTTGTTCAAATCTAATAAACAGGGACAGGATTACATGGTAAGAGGAGTCCCCATCCCAGATGTTTGAACAATATAAACGTTAATTAAAAAAAGGGGGGGAAAAAGAAAAATCTACTTAGCGTTGTTGGAATACATGACCATTAGTTACACAGCAGGCTAGAGCTCCCACACTCTGCAAACCGTACTGTATTCTGTGCCAAAGGAAAGGCATTCTGCACACGCTCAAGTGCCTCCCTTTCTGGATCCCTCCCCCCTCGTTGGGCCTCGACGAGACCGTTCCCCTCCGGAGCTAAACGTGGCATAGAATGAAAACGCTGCGCTAAACGAAACGACCCTGAGAAAGCAACGCTTCTCTCTCCCCTGCGAGATCCGTGCATTATTGCAGTCAGGAAGAAAAAAGGGCTGGCTGGCTGGCTGGCTGGCCGCCCACCCGCCCCGCAGCAAGCGAACCCACCGACGCAGCGCCGTTTCTTTTTTCATTCTCCAGCGTAGGGAGGCGAAGCGGGGACACCCCGGGGCATTAGCCAGCCTCGCGTGATGCGCTGCCCGGGTCCCTCCGGTTGCAGGCGGCGGTGACGCACGGGGGTGGGGGGTGCCGCTGCCGCCCAAACCCTCCGAGCGAGCGCCTTCCTCTCGCGTGGGCTGGCGTTGAGAGCCAGGCCGGAAAAGTGCCCAGCCTGGGCCAGGTTTCCTCACCCGCGACCGCTGTCTCCTCCCTGCGCCTCGGAGGCCCGCCCCTTCTTCCCAACCCGCCGCTCTCTGGCTCTGGGTCGACCTCGGGAGCCGCAGCGCACCCCCGGCCAGGCCGCGCGGCGCCCCTCCCTCGCCTCGCCTCGCCTCGCCTCTCCTCTCGGCAGCGCCTCCGCCACCGCAGCGGGCCCAGCGCAGAGGCGAGCAGGACGGGAACTGCTGCTGCTGCTGCTGCTGCTGCTGGCTGGGTAGCCGTCACCCGGGAAGGCCTCGGGCAGAGAGGGACCGGAGCGGAGACCCGGCCAGGCGCGGGACATGGTGACGGGATGGCCTGCTTCGCAGACGCCTTCCCTCTGCACCTGCTCGTCTGGCACAACCGGCACCAGGCGCTGGACAGCGAGCTGCGCAAGGGACAGGTACGCGGAGCCCCCTCCCCGGCCCGGGACGTCTGTTTTTCTGCCCTATCCGCCCAGCCCAGCCTGCCTTTCCCTCTCAGCCCGAGCCGAGGGGCGCAGGGAAGAGGGGGACGTGATGGAGAGAGAGTCCCGAGCTTCTGCCTCCCCATTTCATCCTCTGGCTGTCAAGGGGAGGGGGCCGTGAACGAGGCCTATGATCTGGCCCTAACCCCGAGATGGCTACTTCTGGTCTAGATTTCACTTGGAACCGGCATCTAATGAATTCCCCTCTTCCTCCTTCCTGGCATGGGAAAATGTCCGACGAATATGTCCAGATATTAGTTGGGATCACTCTTTTCCTCAATCTCGGGGTAACAGAAACCCCTGGTGCTGCATCTCCCATTATTTCTCTCCTGTCTCAGAACTCTCTTTCCTTCCTCTCCATTACAACCCAAGGAGCAGTTGGAGGATAGTTCTGTAGATCAAGCCACATTTCATTTGGAAATCCCCGCATACTAGACCTACCTTAACAATAGGCACTTCAAAGAAAAGAGTACTCCTCCTTTTTGGCACTCAGCTTGAAATCCCACAGTCCAGCATGCCTTCAGTCATATTTACTCTGCAGCTTCCCCCAGACAGGGTATATGAGGGCAAACCTTGCTAAGGATCCCATGTAGTTGGCGTACATGCCCCTGCCATGCTAATGATTATAACATCCTCTGGTGTGGAGGGCAAGCTTTTCCTATTCTCATTCCCATTTCAGCTTCTTATTCAGGACACATAATGTATAGATGGCCACCATTTTGGTAAATGATAAAATATTATTAAACTTAAGCATATGTGTACCCAGTTGACTCTGGCTCTTTCTTTGGCCATTTCTACACTTAAACAAATAAAATGAAGACTTCACACTAGGACTTATATTCAACCATAGTTGCCGTTATGGTCATCGTTACTATTATATATACGCTACCCAGGGATGGATGGATGACTCTAAAAGATTCTATAAGTCACTGCTGCAAATCTTCCTTTTACAACTTTTTTAGTATAGGCTATTTGAGCCTGTGCCTATTTGTGCTTTCTCCAGTCCACTGTTTAACATCATCAAAAATGCTTTGCAGATTTCACTTCCTGTTTGTCCTGCAGATTAACATCATGCATTGGATAGGCACGTTACAAAAAAATGATATATTTTTCCCGAAAATAAGACCCTGTCTTATATTTTTTTGAACCCTGAAATAAGCGCTTGGCCTTATTGCTATGTGCTGAAAAGCCCGATTGGGCTTATTATCAGGGGATGTCTTATTTTGGGGGAAACAGGGTAGACAGTCTCAGATTGGTAGTTTGTTGGATTCCTGCTACTTTTATATATTTGCTTTTCTACCTGGAGGTTAAAACGAGGAAAACAGTTCCACCAGAACACCTGGGCTATGTATTATAGAGAGAATCTTGCCTGATAATTGTTTTGGAACTGAGACAAAATGGGGATCAGTTCATTTGAGTTGTCAAAAGTCTATGCTATGAAATGGTGATAACTTCAGAAAGTAAAAAAAATGCTATGCGTTGTTTTTCTGAAAGAAAAAGGAAATTATTTGGAGCATCTGGAAAGTGAATTTTGGAAAAATAATATTTTGAGTCATCTAACTATCCAGATACTTCTGAAAGTTTATAAATATGGTGCTAAAGGCAATTACTGTGTCCTGTTTATCCTTTGTTTTTTCCTCCCTATCTCTACAAATGTGGAAATTCTGAAGAAGAGCTTGTAAGAGAGCATAGCATACCATATTGGGAATACTACATCAGGACAGGGTAACAAGTTTATAAATGGCAAACGATTTGGGGTAGAAGTGTGAGACCTTTTGAGCAAGTCTTCTCTTCTCTACTCTTCTCTTCTCTTCTCTTCTCTTCTCTTCTCTTCTCTTCTCTTCTCTTCCCTTCCCTTCCCTTCCCTTCCCTTCCCTTCCCTTCCTTCCTTCCATCCTTCCTATCCATCCATCCTGTGTAAAATGGATGTGAGGTATTTAGTGGTTCAACCCACGTATTCCCTTTGAATTTAATTGGTAATCTGAGGTTCATCCATTAGCGAGTCAAATATCTCTGAAAAATTTATACCATGGAACAACAGTTTCTGCCCCCTCGACGTTCATTTTTAAGCTGAGCTGGATGACAGTTTCTCAGAGTTGCAATAGTTGCATCCTTCATTGAAACAAGGCTGGAATATTATTTCCCACTAGTGAATTACAAATCAACTGGTTTTTAAAAAAACAACCAATAATTCCTTGCTGCAGTGTTAGTAGCTATTAGATTATGTAGGATGGATGCTTATTAAATTAACCTCCTCTAAATAATCTTAACCACACTGCTCAAAAACATGTTTTTCTTTCATTTTTCATTTTTATTTTTTTATTTACTGTGTAAGTAGGCATTGTAGTGTATACCTTCTGTCATTAAAAAGCAAATCCAATTGGGCTGATCTTGGTCCCTTTTGTCAGAAGGAAAGAAAGTTTGTTGGTGTGAATGGCTACCTTTATAATAAGGAAACTCTGGAAGATAACATTGCAAGACTCATCAGGAAGTCAGAACTGAATACCAGTACTGTATTACAAAATAATTCATGGGCTGAAATACCACTGTATGCACTAATTTACATTAAATACCAATGTTGGTTCTTCAGTCCTTCAGCTAGTGGATAAAACTATATTAGAATTCCTATTATTGACCTTTGTGTCAGTTCAGTTAACTATATGAATTATATCTAATTGTGGATGGCCTTAGAGATAAAGAAGAGCAGTATCTAAGAACAAATACTGGCTGAATGGCATTCTTTAACAGAAGATATTTGGACAAGGCCATTCTCAAGACTGAATCCTAGCACTGAAAATTGATCGAGCTTGCAGTTGCAGTTAAACGCCATGCTTGTTTTACCTGCAAAACATTTCTTATCCAGATTATTAATCCCCTGATTCTTTTGCAGCATGATATTGAAATGCTTGACCCACGTGGCCGAACACCTCTGGAATTGGCAGTGTCCCTTGGGAACTTGGAATCTGTCCGTGTGCTGCTGCGACACAATGCCAGTGTGGGTCAGGAGAATGCCAATGGCTGGACAGGTAGGACATAGTTGAAAGTCTGTATTGCTAGAGGAACTAAGTGTCCCTCCTTTACTTCCTGGCTTCTGTGGCAAAAAATTGTTAGTTTGCACAAATTTGAAAAAAAAACTGCTTAATAGTGTGAAAAATAGTTAGGTTTTTTGCTTGTTAGTATGCAAATTTCCTAGCCTAGAGCACTTAAAATATTTTGGGGCAGATTATCAAATGGGGAGTATGGGAGTGAATCAAACAGATAAAATGGGCTCCAGGATTCGTTTTTAAAATAAAATAATTTCTTATATGGCAGGCACGGAAACGTAGAAAATTGGAAAGGATTGAAAGTTGGACAGAAGAAGGAAAAATTATTGAAAAATTAAGGGCTTGTGACATCTGGTCTGCTGTGAGGAATAGACAGTGAAGGATGGAATCCATTGTTTTGTTTTCTCATGAGGCAGTAAAGCCTCACTTCCTTCAAGCCTCTGGACAACTCCTTATCTTTCACACAAAGTTTCTGGCAAAGGACAAGCTTGTCCAAATGTCTCTATAAAGTGACCATAAATGCTTCTTACTGTGTATTTGTTTTAAGACTGCCAATAGACCACAGGTGGTCCTTGACTTACTACCAAAGTTGAACCCAAAATTTCTGTTGTTAAGCGAAACAATTGTTACGTGAATTTTGCCGTTTTGTGACCTTTCCTGCCACAGTTGTTAAGTGAATCACTGTAGTTGTTAAGTTAATAACACGTTTGTTAAGTGAATCTGGCTTCCCCACTGACTTTGTTTGCAAAGCAAAGGTTGCAGAAGGTGATCACATGATCCTGGGACACTGCAACCATCCTAAATATGAGTCAGTATCAGTAGATAGATATGAATAGATAAAGAGGTTGAATCTGATTCTGCTAATTGGATGTGAGAATAGAAGTAAAATTCATCTGGAGTTAAAGATAAGGTAGGGCATGATGAAACAGAAAGAAAATCCAAGAAGCTAGATACTGATTGTTTCTTTATACTCTCCCTGGCATCTAGTCCTTCAAGAGGCTGTAAGCACTGGAGATCCAGAGATGGTACAGTTGGTACTCCAATACCGTGATTACCAGCGTGCCACACGACGACTGGCTGGTATTCCAGAATTACTCAACAAACTACGCAGAGTATGTATTAATATAAACTTCCAGATGAACTGGAGTATTTTCCATTCTCTTTTGGGGTCTGCAAATATTTATTTTGTGATATCCATTCACAGGCTTTGTCAAATATCTTGCCAAAAGTTGTAAAGAGGAGGAAATTAAACCCTGTCAAACAATTTCTTATGCAGCTTTCCTCAATTTGGCGCCTCTCAGGAAAACATGTTGGCTTGTATTATGAGAGATGTAAACTTTTTTTTTTTTTTTTTTTAAATTTGATTTATATGCCGCCCTTCTCCGAAGACTCAGGGCGGCTTACAATGTGCTCAGCAATAGCCTTCATCCTTTTGTATATTTATACAAAGTCAGCTTATTGCCCCCACAACTGGGTCCTCAATTTACCTACCTTAGAAAGGATGGAAGGCTGAGTCAACCTTGAGCCTTGGCGAGATTCGAACCCTGCAGTAATTGCAGGCAGCTGGTCTTAATAACCAGCTTAATAACAGGGTGCCTTAAACCCCTGTACTACCAAGGCTCAAACTTGCACTTTGAAAGAGCATACGTTTAGAGAACTCTGTTCTTGTGGATTGTTCTTCTGTTTTTCCAAAGGTCTGGCTGCGTTTGGTTTAAAAAATAATAGTCTAGATACAAGTAGTCCTTAATGTATGACCACAATTGAGCCTGGGATTTTGGTTGTAAATTGTTGCAGTTGTAAGCTGAACCACCACATGACTGAACTTGTTTTTATGTGCTTCATTGCAGTCATTAAGCGAATTACATAGTTGTAAATCTGAATCCAGCTTATCCAATAGGCACTGTTTGGGCTTTTTGCTGGAAAATGGCAAAAAACATTATAAAATAATCCTATGATCCTGGGATGCTGCTTCTGGTTATAAACATGAGCCAACTGCCTAGTGCACAAAATGCAATTGTGTGACTGCAGAGGTGATGTGATAGTTGCAACGTTGAGGACAAGTTGTAAGAAACCATCATAACTGAACAGTCGTTAAGCAGCCCCTTGTAAGTTGAGGACTATTTGCAGTTAACAACATTAAATCCTTTATTTATATCTGAAGTATGTGTAGTAATACAATATAGTGATACAACTATTTCTTTGCCATATTAATTTGTAGGAAATATGTTTGAACAGCACACTTTCAGGATTTCAGAAGTAATTACTGGGCATTGCTGAAAACATCGGCACTAAACTTTTAAATCCTTTCTTCTTCAATGTCTTTTGAAATATTCTTGGCCTTGCTAGTTGCTAAACCGAATTGCATAATACACTCCCACTGACAAAAGATTGGTCATGGTGTTAAAGCCCTGTCTATTTCAAAGGAAAAACATACAGAGGTTGTATCTTCCTGTCCCTTCTCTTGTTTGTACTGATCTCACTTCTGGTTTGTAGTGAATTAGTTTTCCATTTCCTCAGGCCCCTGACTTCTATGTGGAAATGAAGTGGGAGTTTACCAGCTGGGGTAAGTCAGTACTTCAGATGTCTAATTCAGTGAGTAAAGAGAAAAAATGAATATGAGATAGAAAAGATGGCAGGAGAAGATGGGGTTGCAGAAAAATATTTGAACTAAGGAATAAGGTTTCCTTGTTTGGTTATTATCATTACTTTTCAGAATAGATTTGGCCACTAACTTTCAAAAACTTTCAAAAAGTTCATCATTAGTGGAGCACATGAACTAAGTCTTTGTTTTGTGAGAAAGGAATTTTACTACAGTCAGTTTAGTGGCTTCTTCCATGGGCAATCTATCCAGGGGTTTTTAACATGTGATAACACAAGTAGTGCTCCAGAGTTTTTAAGTGATAATTTGGAAGGTTTGAGAAGGTCCCACGCAGATGCCTCAGGGACCTATTAAATTTGTTGTTTACTCTTAGGCATGGTGCTGTCTCATCTTATCCTACTTTTAAAGAGGCTATAATTCCTTCATGGAAGAACAGTCTTGTACAAATGTGACTCATTATTTAATAGTTCCAGGTAATGATCCTTATGCCTCTGTTTATTCTCTTCCTCTGTCTCTGCAGTGCCTCTTGTCTCGAAAATATGTCCAAGCGATGTGTATCGGGTATGGAAGCGGGGTGAAAACCTGCGGGTGGACACTACCTTACTGGGCTTTGAGCACATGACCTGGCAGCGGGGCCGGCGCAGCTACATCTTTAAAGGCGAAGGTCAGAATATCCCTTTCTTGGGAGATGGGCGTGTGCTCAGTGACATGTGTAGTTTTGGTAGAAAGTGTTTTTCTTCCAATGTTGCATTTTCATCCTCTTTCTCCTCCCCCTATTATTTAGAGGAGAATGCTGTGGTGATGGAAGTTGACCATGACAAGCAGGTTGTGTACACTGAGACATTGTCACTAGCCTTGCATGAGCCCGAGCTGATGCTGCCTGCCATGCAGCCTTCGGAGGAACATGTTGCCAGCCGCCTCACGTCTCCTATTGTCTCCACCCACCTTGATACCAAGAATATTGCCTTCGAGCGGTGAGTTTTGGCAGACGGAAGGGAATGTATTGTTCAGTGCCTATATATGGGGGGTTGTGCGGGAGGAGCAGGAACATAGTGACCCTGGGTGGCAATTGTTGGGGCAAGAGCAAGAGAGACTACAGAAGATTTTGCTTTGATCCTGCTTGATGTTCTTATATCATAAGAGGGAGCCGAGGAGATCAAAATTGAAGTGAGACCCAAGTTGGAAAGAAGGTCTCTCTGATTCTTTCAGCACTAAATAGTTTTTGCAGGAAGCCTTACATTGGAAATGGCTTGAAGTTTATTACAACAAAATACAGTTCAACACCCTTCTTTTGCCTTTGGTCTGGTTACTGGAAGATCAGGTTTCCTTACACAAGAAAATACTCGTTCTAGAAACACCACTTTGTCTTCTTAGTAAAGGCTTTTAAAAGGTAGCGGTCTATTTGTGCATTAACAGAATTTAATGTAATTAATATTTTTAGGTGAGGGGTTCTCCAACTATGGGCCACATCATTCCTGAGTTACTTGGTTTCACCCTGGTGTTATGAATTGACTGTCTGCTTATCCAGGCAGAAATGGACTGGCAGTGATCCAGTTGTATGTTTGTAATCCAGACTTGTACAACCAAAATTGTATAACTGATAGAACTCATGCTATCAAGGGTGACCTCAGGATTTGCTACTTCCACATCTTGCTGCTCCAGAGCTCCCTTCTATGTGTCCTCATTGGCCATCTACAAGGCATCCTTCCTGAACTCTCAACAGGTTTTCTAGCCTGGCCTTTCCTGTTCGGTCTCCTGCCCAGCAGCTTCCATGTATCCATCCTGACTGGATTGGGAAGGGGGAACAACAGGGTGGAAGAAAAAGCCAATGTCACTTGGAATTTGCTGGCACTGCACATCCATTGTTCAGGGTGTGAGAGAGAAATTTGAGAAAAGTGGGCAGAGCTGAGATGCAACAGCAATGATGTCTCGGCAATTCTGGAAAACTTGGCCAGGAGACAAGCAGTACATTCCCTTCTGCGAAGGAAGGCCATCCCTATCCAAATGTCATGAAAAATAATGCCAGAGAAGAAGTTCTCCTGGTAGCATAGATCCTCCAGTGGTTCTGAGCAAAGATAGGCACCAGAAAACTCTAGAAACAGGAAAAGAAGTGCAGTTCAAATAAAGAAAGTTTTTATGTAACCTCATCCATGAATAAAACTGCCGAATAGTGACAAAGATCCTGGTAACAATCCAGCTGTGCTAGGTATGTACCAAAGACAGAGCAAGAACATGGTCTGACAGGGCTCTGGCTGTGTGCACAATTAAGGTGACTTGTATCCAGAACCCCAGATGACTTGCATGTGAGTTCTGACAGTGATTCAGTTTTTGATGTGCAACTCTGGGGTTGCACACAAGCAGCTAGAGTACTAACCAAATGCTCTTCTGCTCTCCTAATAAAGCTGACCGCCAGTTTTCTTCAGATAAAAGAGGAGGTATGTTTGATAGTGGGAATCCTGTCAGAACATAGTACAACAACTTTATTTCTTGTGGGGAGATCACACCAAATTATTTATCATTTCAGCAGAGTTTGAGAATTTATACTGAAATAGGAACCCATTCTATGTGCAAATTTGGGCCATTGTCATATTTGACTCAGGAATATATTTCTATTCAGGAACAAGTCTGGAATCTGGGGCTGGCGCTCGGAGAAAATGGAAGTAATCAGTGGTTACGAAGCCAAGGTACAATTCTCTGTCTTCCTTGTATAATTGTCCAACATAAATGTCAAGATTTAGCTTATCTTATGTATTTCTAATCAGCAGGGTTTGAGGGAATCAAATAATATAAATGGGTTTGTGCTTCTCCAGGTTTACAGTGCCAGCAATGTGGAGCTTATCACCAAAACACGTACCGAGCACCTGTCTGACCAGGACAAAACACGCAACAAAGGTAGAGCACACATGTACTACTTCCAGTTTTGAACCCATGTTGACTTAACCAGTCTATTATGCTGTAAATAATTTGTCCTCATGATAGTTCCAGTTAGTCATTCTCTCTCTCTCTCTAGTAGTTGTTCTTTTGACCTCGGTTGTCTTGTCCTCAGCAAATTCAATGTGGAATATTTATATTTCATTTACTTACTTATTATGTGTATATCTTTCCCTGAAATTGAATACACTGAATAAAGCACTATGTCCAGTGTTCTATCTCTCCATCCCTGTGAGATAAGTTGAACTGAGAGATAATGACTAACCTGATGAACTTTATACTCTATTACTTGTGATAAAATAGTATGTGAAGGGGGGGAGGGGCAAAGTAGAAAGCAATATAGGAAGAAAGATTTTTGAATAACAAGATTACAAGTGCCGGTCTTTATGGAATAATAAGAAACCTACTTAGAAATCTAGATGTAGCGTCTTTTAAACAAAGTGTAAATTTCGAATTCTTACATAAAATGCACAGAGAGGCCTCCAAGGTGATTCTTGATTTCTCATTTGTTCATTTATTTATGAAATTTATATGGTACTTTTCACTCCAGGCAATCTCATAAAAGTAGTAAATAAATCAGTACAGTATCAAAACAACAATCAAACTATTGTATAGAGTTTAAAATGAAACACCAGCTAATATTGCTGACATTTTTAAATAATAAATTTGGTGGGATTTACTCTCAGGTAATTAAAAAGAGGATTCTATACTGACAATGCATTTAATTTATCAATATGCCTTACTCTTACACATTTAGATAATACAGGATTGCAATATTAAAAGTTTTTTTAAAAGACTTTTTTTAATGAGATAAAAACTGTATTTGCAGTGAATGCATGTTGAAAAACAGATCCAGTCTTGCAATTGTGGAAGCTTCTGCTTTCTTGTGCTGGACTTCCAGAATACCAGTGATTATATCAGTAAAAAGAGATGACTAATTTGCATACTTTATCATTCCTTTCTATAATTAGGGAAAATACCAATCAGCTCTGGAGAAAGTATTCAATATATATTCATGGATAAGCTGAGAATGTTAGGTTCCAAAATATACCCAAAAAAATAGCTTTGGCTTCTCTGCAGACCAGGGCTCAGAGTTTTTAAAGACTGTAATAGCCTTAAAATCACATGGTTTTATAAAAGATGAGATAACAATTTGCAGTTTCCTGCCTGTCGTTGCAGTTTAAAAATTGAGGGATGGCTTATCTGCAGGTGGCACACTTTTCATGTATTCTGGTTGAAATTTTTAGGGTTGACTTACCTGCAGATAGGTTTATCCACAATTATGTACGGTATTTACTTTCCTGCACTCACCTGTCCTATTCCCTATCTTAGCAGTCCTACCAGATTCTTATTAGTGTAAAATAAATGGGCAAGGACATTTAGCTTCTTGGAGGAAAGGTGAGGTAGATAAGTAAATAAGTAAAAGTCTTGCCCAATATTAGGAGTGGGCAATATGGGACAAATTCTTTTGACATTTTGTAAGATGCTTGTTGTTGTAAAAAAAGAGTATAATTAGAAAGGCCAGGTAAATATTGAGCTATTGTCATGTACCCTACTTGGGCTGCCTTTGAACAGCACTCGGAAGCTACAAATGGTTTCCCGGACAGTTGTTGGGCATGTTTTGAAATGCCCAGATGATACTACTGCTTCAAGAGCAACATTGATTATTGGTCACCTAAAAAGCCTTTAAGGCATAGGTCCATATTTTATGAAGACCACTTATTGTTTTGCTCATCTGGTAAGATCTGGTAGGGTTGATGTACTTCAAGAACCCTTGATCAAGCAATGCCATTTGTCAAAGGCATTGACTTCTCTATTGCAGTGTCTGCTTTTTGGAATTATACCTCCCCAGGGATTTGTTTACCTCCTTCCCTGATGTCATTCCACAAGTTGTTAAAAACCTGGTTACTCTTGGAATAGGATGTTGGAAGTGTCCTGGGTGATTGGTTGTTACTTGATCTATCCAGATGCTTAAGTTCTTCTTTACTGCTTTCTTATTTTAAGTGTAAGCAGCTCAGAATCATTTTGGGTCTCTTGGGAAGCTTCTAAATTTATTTTTTAATTTTTTTTAAAAAAAAATAAGTGAGTAGTGAATGTCCGCTCTTATATCTGTAGTAGTAGGGGTTTTAGTAAAAGAAAAGGGCAAATTACAATCAGATACATTACTGAGACATACATAAGCATTTTGTGACATGAAGCTTCCCCCATTTCTGCAGCAATGAAGAAAAGACACCAGGTTTCAATGCATTATGCAATTATTATTATGTTTAATTATGTTTATATCTCTCATCTCTTTTTTCAATGAGGGAAATACAAATTAAGGAAAATAGTTGTTCCACATAATGGAATAGTTTTAAGATTTGCATGAGGGGACAACTTAGCTGGAGACCAGGCAGGCCAATGAAAACTTTGTTGGTTTTGTTTCTTTCCACAGTGCTCTGCTGCTGCTAAGATTCTAAAGAAAGGGTTGCTGGGGGCCAGGCTAATATTTGGAGGTTGGAGGAGCCTTGGTTTACACTTCATTTTCAGTCCTATGTAACTGTTGCACTATAATGTTAAAAAGTGTTCACTTGGGAAGATGCTCATTTTCGTAGAAATAAGAGAGACATTTTCCATAGTATTTTGTTCTCTTTCAAGGGCTGCTACTGCTAAAAAACTGTTTTATCTGCAAATGTTTAGTACATCAGGATGTTTATTTTAATATCAAAAGCACAAGTTCTATGCTGTATGCCACCTTGAAAGCTGTAACAAACAGATAGGACAGAAATGTTTTAAAGAAACATTATAAGCATTATAAGATAAAAATAGGTAATTATAACTGAAGGGCTTCTTTGAGAAGAAACATAGGACTTATCTTTTGGATGTCCTTTCCTCACTACACAGGCTCCAAGACTCCATTCCAGTCCTTCCTAGGAATTGCCCAGCAGCATGCTGCCCAGAATGGGGTATGTAGCAAGGTCAGGTTCCTTCCCTGCAAAGGGAAAAGGGTGCTAGCTGAGGCATCTGCACTAAAGGGGAGGGAGGGCAGCAACAAGAGACTTATGCTGGACCAGTTTGGTGGGACTGGTGGGGAATGAGAATTGGCATTTATATGGTATTTACAATTATTGCTAGAATCCTTTGCTTAGAGTAGATCCTGCTCCCCATTTTTCAGGCCCCTGTGCTGCAGTCAGCCAGTCCCACAAACCCAACATCTATTACCCCTGAGGAATACTTTGACCCCAACTTCAACTTGGAGTCCCGTAATATTGGCCGCCCTATTGAGATGTCCAACAAAGTTCAGAGGTGAGTGCAGATGGGAAAGATAGTGCAGCATTGATATACAATGGGAAATGCAAGACATGAAGGCTAGCATTAATGTTTTTGGGGGGTAAGAATGAAAATCCATAAGGGTGAGCATGACAGCTAGTCTTTTTGGTGTGTTAAGATGGAGGAAAGTGAAGTTCTACAAACTGACTTGTTCTTTATTTGCTAGGTTCAAGGCCACTCTGTGGCTCTGTGAGGACCATCCCCTCTCCCTGGTGGAGCAGGTGACACCTATCATTGATCTGATGGCGATCAGCAATGCTCATTTTGCCAAGTTACGTGATTTCATCACCCTCAAGTTACCTCCTGGCTTCCCGGTTAAAATCGGTGAGAGAGATGCAAAACAAACTGGCTGAAAGTGGGAGTGGCAAGTAATGGTGCTAACCATTGTAATGTGGAACTAGAAGACAAAGTGCAGCAGAGGGAGCAGGTAGCAACAGGAATATGGCAGGAATGATGTATGGCAGAGTTGATTGTAACAATAGATCAATGGTTGCTGATATTTATTTCTGAAGACCAGGTACTGAGAAACAGAAAACAGAGGGGACTATTGCATACCTGATCTATAGAAGCATTTCATTAATCATTGTAGTAGAATGTTGGCTACTCTAGATGGCTTTTGGTCCAGTCCAGCTTCAGGACTCTTTATATCATTATATTCTTATTAATAATGTTTTGATGGGCTCTGTATGAAAACAGCAAGAGACCTGAAAATAAATAGTTCCCATCCTTTCATTCTTTTCTTTCCCTTTTCTGTAAGTTTTCCCTGTCATTTTCAGAGATCCCTCTCTTCCACGTGCTCAATGCCAGGATCACTTTCAGTAATTTGTGTGGCTGTGACGAGCCACTCAGCTCAGTGCGGATCTGTACTCCTACCCAATCCCCTGGCAGCAGTGAGGAACTAAGTGCTGGGGCAGAGGCAGCCAGCAATACTAAAGGTAAGATCAAAGGCCAAAGAGAGGCACAGCTCTTATCAAAATTATGCCCACTGCTTCTATGGCTTCTATGATGTAAAACTGGATAAAGAGAAAGAGGAAAGAAGCTTTTGGAGCTGGAAGAGATAATGTCCAACAGTGCATACTGAATTATTTGAAGAAGTAATAGAGGAAAGGATAAAACAGGCTGTGCAATCTGCATCCCATAAACTGCACACGGGTCTTAGGCCCTGCTTCTGTTACTCCCATAGCACCTCAGAAATTATGCCAATATTTTTTATCAAACAAAAGTGTGAACGTTCCTCTCGTTTTTTTAAAAAAAAGTTTAAACTTCCAAAAAAAACTTTATTTGTCTAAAATACAACCCAAGTCCCAAAGGAACCTCCTGAAAATCTATGCCTTGTCCACTTGAGTGGTGACATTACATCACTGTTACTTTCCAAAACTATCAAAAAATAAATTTACCATGGAATAGCTGCTGAATGATTGCTTGCTCTGGAAAAGATAGTTAAAAGAATGACTCTTAAGACCATGTTGTTCTTGTCCATAACTCCTCTCCTTCATCCACGTACCTTACTCTAGGGAGTATACCTAGCAGAGATCCATACTGGCTCTAACAACAGCAACTGTAAATATTTAATTCACACTTGATTCTCTCTCCCTTTCACCTCAGAAAATGCTATCTAAAAGGATTCTACACAGAATTTGCTCAAACTTTTCACAATCTGTGCAATGTGAAGCTCTTATTTTGCCTATCCAGGACTGATTTATGGAGCCAGTAAAACAATTTCCGGTTGTTGTTTTCATTTTAGATTTTGCTGTTATTACTACTCTGGCATAATAATAGATCTCACTAATTTAGTCTTGTGCTTTCCCTCTCTATTGTTCTGAGAAAATTGAGTTATGCCAGCTTTCTACCAACCTGTTATGTCTTGGTTCACCTGGGAAGATTTAGTGTATTTGCTTTAATTCTGGAAAGTATATGGTTTGATAAAAAAAGAACCTTATTTTTGTTATGGGGAAGTAAGACAGAGATTAGGTGTTTGGCTGTTTAATTAACATAGGACATAGTTAAATCCATTCAAACTCTTATATTTGAGCACAATTTTAGACAATGTCAACACAATATAGACAACTTAATGGTGGATATGGTACTACTAGTCACAGTGATTCTATATTAATATGCATTTCTTTCTAGGCAGTAAACAGAGAGAGGCATTGTACTTACATCCTATTTGTAGGTCTCCCTGTGGCTTCTAACTGATGATGGTCAAAACAGGATGCTGTCTAGATATGCCTTAGTAGTATAGCTATTGCTATTTCCCAATCCCTGTTGTAATTACTGTTATAGCAATAGCACTTAGACTTATATACCGCTTCACAATGCTTTTACAGCCCTCTCTAAGCAGTTTACAAAGCATATTGCCCACAACAATCTGGGTTCTCATTTTACCGACCTCAGAAAGATGGAAGTCTGAGTCAACCTTGAGCCTGGTGAAATTTGAACTGTCAAATTGCAGGCAGCCGGCAGGCAGCAGCAGTAGCCTGCAGTACTGCATTCTAACCACTGCGCCACCATGGCTCTTATGTTATGTTATTCTCCTTGCCCCTAGTGTACCCTTTCCCCTGTGAAGTGGATCCATCTGTATTTGAGGTGCCCCAAGGCTACACAATGCTGGGTGCAGGCCGTACGGAGCCCATGAGAGATGAGGACGATGACCTACTCCAATTTGCCATTCAACAGAGTCTCCTGGATGCTGGCACAGAGACAGATCAGGTGATTGGGAGGGCAGCAACTGGACTGTGGTGGGAAAATCTTTGTATTCATTTAGCAAAGAAGCATGTCTAACTGGTTCTTGAAAACAGGGTCTGTGGTCTAAGAAGGTTGTGTGGTACGAGACAAAAGTAGGAGGACAACATAGCAAATAAACCCCCAGATGTTGTCACTTACTGGAGATCATTCTTTGTTGATAAGTTTAGATATAGCACTGGGGGCTTAAACTTAGTCTTACTGGTGCTTTTTAATGCTTATTAGGGATCAGTGATGGGAGGACCTAAAGCTAAACATGATCTCAGACCAACAAGTCACGGGATTAGTTAGTTAAATAATTAATTATCCCACAAGTTTCTAATTGCTGTCTACTACTGGATGATACTGACTCTGTTTTTTAGTTTTATTTCTTCACTCCATGTTTTATTAGGTTACCATCTGGGAAGCTCTGACCAACACACGACCAGGATCCAATCCGCCAACCTATGATGAGGAACTACAGTTGGAACGGTGAGTATTTGTGTAAAATGCATACCATCCATTTACATACATATCTAGCTATTCTGCCAGACTGTTTCTTTTTTATTGTGAGGGAAGCAATGGCTGCTACTAGAAGAACAGAAGTTGGTTGTGAGAAGGTGCCAGGAATCGCATGAATTAAGACAATTGCATGCTATCCTCCTAGTTTAAGTTCTCCACCTTTCCTTCATAATTATGTAGTTTAAAGGGAAAAAAATGCATATATTTATTTGGTTTCTTCTGCTAGTTATGGGAAGGGACAAGAACTATGCAGGGCATGGAAACTTCTTTCCCAGCTATTAAGAGATTTTGTTCATTAGCTCATTTCTGGCTTCTGGGATGTCACTAGCATGATTATGTAGTTTGGTTTGGTTTGGTTTTAAGAGAAATCTGATATTGACAGTAGAACTGTGACTATTTTTTTTTTCTTAAAGGAAAATTTGTACCCTAAATGGTTCATACATTTGCTTACAGATAAAATTATTAGGCCTGAAATAAGAATCGTACTTTTAGTTATTACACATATGGTAGGAGTGATTGTCTTAAAAATACGTTTAGTCTGTGAATAGGAGAAAGAGGCATGCTATCTCTGCCATGGTCAGGTTATATAAATACTTTAAAAAGACTGCTTCTTGAAAAAAAAATGCCTGCTTCTATCTGCATTCTAGGGATATATTTGAATTATTGATTACTCAGTGTCTGTCCTATTTAATGCTGCACTTGGTGGCAATAGAACTATTTTTTTCTGTGCCCAATACAGTCTGAATTCATGGCATGTGAATAAAATATTTTAAATTAGGAAAATGTCATTTACAATCACATGTGTATAACCAAATTCTGATAGCCTTTCGAAAAGTTTTTTTTTTCTTTTTAAAGAAACTGCTGTGGGTGGGTTGACATTTAGATCCAAGAAAACAGTAAAGGTTGCTTCATTCTTTTACTATAGAAGTGCTTCCCCATCAAGCTGTATTTCCAACATTTTAGGTTATATTTAACCTAATATAGGCTTGAAATTTTGCAGATAGAAAAGCAATTTTAAAAGGGCAATGGGAAGAGAAAAAATGCTGTTAGGAAAAAGAGATAAGAAACATTGCTATTTTAAATCATTATTTTGTTTTTCTTTGAAAAAATCTTTAAAAGTTTTGTATTTTTAACACAAGATACCCTCAGGTTTTTAAAATCTTCAATATTTATATCATTTTGAAACAGATTTCTGGCTTCTATTGTTATAAACCACAGATTATACAGTAATGACTGGATTCACGCAAAATCACAACTAAGCCAACTTGCAATGAGATGGGTGGCAAACAAATTTAATAAATAATAATATAACATATTGGAGTGTGTGAATCTATTATTTTAGTATTTGACTTGTTTCTGGCAGATTTAAACAAGGATGTCATCCTTGTATGTCATTCTGTTATGTCATCCTGTCTGTTGAGCATGAAATCTTCTACTGTATCTTTTTTGTGCTTAGTATAGACATATTCTACAGGAGAACAGCTTGCTTTTCCCTGGAATACTTCTTAAAATTATGTTTATTTACTGATCATGAACTTAGAAGCTGTTCCCTTTATTTAACCCTTAGAAATTTGAATCGTTTTATCAAAAGCAAATGCAGTAAGAGGTGGCAGTGAGGCCTGTTGCAGGGATGAAATGCTCCCAGTTCGGACCGGATCGCCTGATCCAGTAGCGAGGGCGCGGGTGGTTCGGAGAACCGGTAGCAAAAATCCCTGCCCCCCCACATGCCCAGCTGAGCCGCGCAATCATCAGAGGCTTTTTTTTATTTTTATAAGCATTTTTTTCTACAACCTCTTCAGCCGAAAAAAAGCTTTTGAAAGTAAAAAAAAAAAAGCCTCAGATGATTGTGCGGCTCAGCTGGGATTGTCAGAGGCTTTTAAAAGCATTTTTTTTACAACCTCTTTGGCCAAAGAGGTTGTAGAAAAAATGCTTTTAAAAGTAAAAAAAAAAAAAAGTTAGCCATGCCCACCCAGTCACATTCCTCCCCCCAACAAGCCACATCCCCAGGGCCGGTAGTAACAAATTTTACATTTCACCACTGGCCTATTGTAGTTGCCAGCAAAGGACTCCATTGACTGAATGTCCACTTCTGATTTTTCTGAATTGCATTGTTTTTAATTTGTTGAATTTGTGGTTCATTTACATGTATATTCAGCATACATGTGGATAAGCTAAGAATTTCATGTGCTAAAACACACCCCCCCCCCAAAAATTGTGCTTTCTTATCCACGAGTACTATGGGTTTCCCCATGCATGTTCTTAACTCAGCTAATGAAATACAGATAATCCTCAACTTACGACCACAACAGCACAAAATGTGTGTTGCTAAGTGAAACTTTTGTTAAGTGAGTTTGCCCCATTGTACGACTTTTCTTGCCACAGTTAAGTTAAATCATTGCATTTGTTAAGTTAGTAACATGGTTGTTAAGTGAATCTGACTTCCCCATTGATGATCTGCAACCGTCATAAATATGAGTCAGTTGCCAAGTGTCTGAATTTTGATCACACGGCCATGGGGATGCTGCAGTAGTTGTAAGTGTGAAAAATGATCTTAAGTCACTTTTTTCAGTGCCATTGTAACTTTGAACGGTCACTAAACAAACAGTTATAAGTCGAGGACTACCTGTACATTATAAGAAGATTAATAAAATACATTAAAATATAATCAAAATTATATGAGTTTTAACCAATATGCATATTTTTAGAGTAAGGTAAAACGTTTCCTTGTCAGTTGTATCCAAGTCTCGGGCACGGTGCTCATCTGTTTTTTGGCCAAGGGAACCAGCGTTGTCCAAGGATATTTTCTGTGTTCATGTGGCCAGCATGGCTATACTCCAAAGGCTGTTACCTTCCCACTGAAGCAGTACTTATTTGTATTTGTATGCTTCCGAACTGCTTGGTGGGCAGGAATGGGTGCTCACCCCATTGCATGGCACTCAGGTCTTGAACTTGGGCTGTCAGCACAAGTGTTTGTTGTAGGCCACTGATCAGTTTTGGTTTTGTTTAGTGTTTAGCTTAATTTACAAATGACACAATTATGACTTGTTCAGTAAATCATAACTTAAATCATGGTTTAATGCACTGCATAGCCCACTCGTTAAGCTAACAGATCTCAGATTTACCATTTTTCAGCAAGCCAATTTAAAAGAATTTAGTAGGAAATCACTGACTTGTAATTCATCAGCAAATTTGACACGGTGAATTTGAATGCAAAACAGATGGTTTGTTAATGAAAGGTGTTAATTTGCATTAGTCCTGTTGCTGTGCTAGCTAGGTCATCTTGCTTGTGGCAAAACAATGTGTATCTACCCTGGATGTGTCCAGTATTCATTTCACAGCAGTTTCTGCACAGCAGTATCACAAGCCTATTGCTGTCTCCCAAATTGTTTTGAGCTTTAAATGCACTTAATAGGAAGCCTTAGGCTTTTTCTATCATTACTGCATGTAGTTTAGTAACCTCTAAATGACTGGTGAAAGTTTATAGCAGAAGCAGCCATCATCCTTTGCTATTCCTCCCTGGAATTATTCTGAGAATTACTTATTATTTTATTTTATTTATTTTATTCAATTTGTATACTGCCCTTCTCCTAGTGGACTCAGGGTGGTGCACAGCCAGAACTAAAACACATGCCAATACAAAATTTAAAATTATTAAAAGAATTACATAACTTTGGCCCAAATTTAAAACAATTCGAATTAAAACCCATTGACAATTTAAAAGCTAAAAGACTAAAAAAGACTTCAGCAGCAAACTACTGCAGCTTAAGAAAATAGACATGAACACTCCCAAAGGCATCCAGGAGCACTTGGGAAAAATGCACTAAATAGCAATTTAGGTAAGCCCAAGAATTGTGAATCTTACAGTTTTGCAGCAAGCCCATGAAAAGCTATAGAAAGAAATGGACACGGTTTATTTGATAATTTAAATGCTCCACTTTATCTCATCCAGAAAAAAAGAAACAAATACATCTTCTTTCATATGTCTAGAGACAGTGTTTAGCCTATTCCGAATCAAATTATTCAATTTGCAATTGCCCCTATAGTTCAGATTGTTGTGGGAGACCTATATGGTTTCCATTGTATATTTATGGAAACGTCCCAACCTAGGGGAGTAAAACGTAAGTATTTTGTGTACTACACATGGCAGGGTTTCACAAACCGCCATTCATTCCAAATAATGCTTGCTCAGCTGCCAAATGGACCCAGGTTCTGAGATACATTGGGCCAATGATTAAAAACGTAAGTGGCTTCCAATTTACTTCTGAACACAAAGATCCATAAAGCTTTTGTGCCTGAAGTTCACCTGTTCTAGCATGGGCCTGCCCATGGAATAAACTCATTTTCTGGTTGCTCTACCTTCCAAAATAAGGTGGCTAGCACCTGGGGAAAAGCCTAGTTGGTAATGATGTTGCCAACAGCTTAGTGTTCTCTCCTAGGAAGGTTTAGCTATTGAATTAGTTTGTGTTTTTTCAAAGCCAGAGAATTTTTAATTTCCCCAGAATGTTTGTTTTTTGTTGCGCTATATTCAGCCGCTCCTTTCTGGTGTGTTGCCCAAAAATTCTGTGCATGAACAGTTCCACTAATTTGGAGTAGCCTATGTTTTCTTGAACTGAGACTTCAAGGTTTCAGATCCATGCATGGAAGAAAATAGTGTATTTTATAAAAACCTTTGTAGAAAATTGTTAATGCTCACAAGTATTCTTCAAGTCCCACTTTTTCTCCTATATAGGTATATATAGGTAGTCCTCGAGTAACGACCACAATTGAGTCCAAAATTTCTGTTGCTAAATGAGACAGTTGTGAATTTTGATCCATTTTACGACCTTTCTTGCCACAGTTGATAAGTGAATAGCTGCAGTTGTTAAGTTACTAACACAGTTGTTAAGTAAATCTGGCTTCCTCATTGACTTTTCTTATCAGAAGGTGATCACATGATCCCAGGACACTGCAGCTGTCATAAATATGAGTCAAGCACCTGAATTTTGATCACCTGATCATGAGGATGCTGCAACGGTCGTAAATGTGAAAAATAGCCATAAGTCACTGTTTTCAATGCTGTTCTAATTTTGAATGATGTTGTAAGTTGAGGACTATCTATACAGTCTTCCCAGCCTCCTGTCTTTCACCTATGATAAGAATTCTGAAAAATGTAATTGCAACATATCTGCAAAGCAAGAGATTTGAGAAAGCAGCTGCAGTCTCAACATTAGCATCTGAATAGATGGTCGGTACAGATAAGCAAATGCAGATGATAATAAACTGCTTCCCAGTCCACAATTGTTTCTCTGGATATCCAGATGTTGCTATGACTGTTAAGTTACAAATATTCTGTGATAAATAGAATCAATTCAGTGTGATATGTCCCATTACTATTATGTTTTAAGCGCTTGATTAAATGAGTCACATTCTGATTTGGAAATAGTAGGACATTTTTTTAAAAAAATCACAAAATCGAAAAGAGTCTTGTGTAATGGGAGGTAGTAAAGTGTATCTGTCCTCAGGCAGTGATCCATTATGTGAATATGAGTTTATTACAACAACAAAATGTTGTTACCATTACCTAGGAAATGTAGTAAATTCAGAAGGTTGTTGTTAGCATACAGAGTTTATAATCGGTACAAACAGCTTGAATCAAAAGCTGACCCATTGCTTTGTACTGGCAGCCAGATGCTCTTTTGTAATTGTTGTATGAGCAAGGAGAAACTCAAGATTGAGCCAGGCAATCAGAATGCTAACATGTGAATATGGGCAAAGATATGTGTGAAGGCCTTTAAGTACGGTAGGCTGAAGTATACCTGTTGAACAAGCAGAAGAGGAACTTCTGTCTCTTTCTCATGATTGCAACAAACTTCCCTCTTCCTTCTCAGGGCCATCCAAGAAAGCATGTTCCTTCAGTCAGGGCCAGGCCTGGTTCCTGTGGAGTCTGGAGGTGGGAATGATGTGCCTGCTCCAGAGGGCAACCCAGCACTCAGCACCAATGGAAGCGGTTCCTCAGCTTTGCCTCCACCTTACCCCAGCTTTGATGAGCAGTTGCGTTTGGCCATGGAGCTGTCGTCTAGGGAGCAGGAAGAACGGGAGCGCCAACGCCGTGAAGAAGATGAGGAGCTGCAACGAATCCTCCAGCTCTCTCTGACAGAGAAGTAGCATCCCAGCCTGCTAGCAAGGGGTCCCTCGGCCTTGCTCAAGCCTCACACCACCCAGCCTAATTCTCCTTGCTGCCATTGTATTTTGGGTTGGGTTGGGTTCCATGCTTTGCCCCTTTTCCTGTTGGGGTCAGGCTGGAAGTGAGAAGACAGAACCTTCTGCATTTCCTGTGGTTCACTTGGTTCCGTCCTTTAATATTATTTCTTGTAATTTTTTTTTTAACCGCTTTATCCTTCATGGAGGAATTGTTTTCTACAGCACAGAGAAGGGGAGTAAGAGAAAAGGAGCAAAAACTGATAGAAAAGAATGGAAAAATAATCAAAGAAGATGTTTCTCTTTTTCAAATGAGCTTGCAGGTTTTTTTGAGGTTGCTAGAAGTGTGCTGTTGCAGCTTCTGTCTTTGCATGGGTTGCCTCTGGGGGATTTGGGCAATAGAGGGGGTGGGATCCAGGAGCTCAATGCATTGATATTTGCAGTAAGACTGAAGTCAGGCTGCAGCTTGATGAATAATATTCATTCCTGTCTTTTTTTCCCCTTCCTCATCATGAGCTGCTGCTCTCCCCTCTTCCCATGTTTAATTTATTTTATTTATATCTTTAAAGATATATACTAGAAAGGGAGCGGAGGTGTGTGCTTTTTTAAAAACTGAACCTAGTGGGTCTAAAGGGAAGAGCTGGGTCCACTCTTGAGCAGTTTTCTCCTGCTGTCTGAGGACCAGGCACGGGGAGCTCTGGGCAGCAGGAATACTAAATAAAAAACATGAAACCAGCATCTGCTTTTGGTAGCTTTCTTCAGTTTCAACTATCTTGGTCACAGTTTGTGTGGCTCTCATACAAACATAAAGTGAGGCTCCGTTTGTGGTACTTGTGATCATGTTTAAATTACTGAACAAGCTGATTTGTTTACTTTAAAAAAAAAACCTCAGTTTGTGGTTTGAATGATCATACTGTGGTAGCATGTCTTAAGAAGGAATTAGTGGATTGTTCACAAAGAATTACTTAACCAGTCAGGTCTGTGCAACATTTCCAAAAGCCAAATGCATAGAATTCCATATGTTTGATAACCTTTCATTTTTATGAACTCGGTCAAACAAGAGGAAATGGTCCTACTTCTAGAATCAAAACTTGCAGTCAATAAATTTGATTATTTTAAATTATTATATGAAATGCTTAGCATATGTGCCTTCTTAGTCTCCCATCTTCCTTTTACTTACAAGGCTATGGTGACAGTGGAAGCAATAAATAGCAGAATTTCCAGATCAAGGATTAGCAACATACTACTGAGATTGTGAGGAGTTTTACCAAGCTCTTCTTTTCCTCCCTCTTCCAAATTGCATTTTCTTCCATTTTAGCAGTCACTTCTATCTCGGGACATTGCTTTTCAGGACACACCTTAGTTTATTACATTTGTTTTAGCCACTCTGTTTATTGAGCAGCTTCCTTGCATTTTTCTTTTGCTGTACCCTTATTTCAGACTGCCACCATTGTGCTCTGCTTTCATTGGAGGACAGGAGGCACATCTAGGGAGCAATAGGTTGAAGGCTGCCCTAGAGTATGGTTCATATTTGGGTTAAACATTTCTTTGCCTTAATTCCCTGTGTTTTCCCCCTCTTAAACCTCCATCCCCAGTAATTCTTTTGTCAGGTTCCTCTTTCTCTGGATATTTGCTCGCTATGCATTTTTCTTTTTGCTTCCTTGCTCATTTTTGTCTGCTTCTGTATTTCCTGAAGCCTTTCCCCTGTCGTCTTCTTGGGTGCCATATATGGTTTATTGGTTCACAGAATTTGAAGTACAAATTACTATGTTCTGTGAATAATGAGAATCCTGAAATCTCATATCTGACCAGTGGTCAACTCTTGGAATCATTACTACTACAGTAATATGTTCAGAACAAGATCAATTTTGTTGCTCTAATTTCCTGCCTTACATGTCCCCCCTAGTGGTCATTCACAGAAATGTAATTTGTGTGACAAAATCTTGCTGGCTTTATGAGACTATGTGATAAAAACCTGTCAAATAGTTTTTTTTAAAATACTTCTAATATTACTAAAATTGCAATAACCATTAATTAGTTGTGTTCATTTTGTATAGCCTTTCTACTCTATATTCCTTCGTTCAGGAAAGTATGGAAGGTTTCCAGGGCATCTGATTTTGTTCAGATATGTGAGGTGCATATTTTGAAAAATGGACAATCCCCGGACAATCCAAGTTCTTCTCTGAAACATTAGAACACTAATGCTAGTCATAATACTCACTTGGTACAACACAGTTAATACTGTGTTATGAGATGTGTTGTTACTGTTTATAACTGACTGGATTGGAGGACCAAGGGATGATTCTGAGCAGAGTTCAAATATTAAGACTTACCTGAACCTGGAGATTGTATCTATTCTGACTCAAAACCATGTGCAGATGCAGCTAGGATGTTATACACTGTATGAAACGTTCTACTCTCATTCCCCACATGTTCAAGCAAGCTATGTCCAGAGAAATAAGAGAAAATGCAGTATTGTTACGATCTCCAAGTCAAGCTCAATTCCCAATAATTCTATGGACTATTCCATGTAGGTTTTTGGGCCACAATATACAGGTGTTTCCCTACTGCCAACTTCTGGGATGTTTTTCAGTTTCCAGCCTTAGCATTTTTGCTATCTTTCTGTCCAAGAAGTAGTAATCAAGTTCAACCTTCCTTAGTTTTTGAGATCAGCCACAATTGGCTAGGCCCTACCACCAGTACAGTATTTGCCCCAACACCCAAATCAAGCCAGAATGCAAGCCAAGTTATTTCAAAATGTTCAAGAATTGATGCATTATACTATACAAAAAAACTATATTGTACTCCCAATAATTAGATGTGATGATCAGCTCGTGATATGCTTATCACAATAAATTAACTCTTGGAGCCTTAACATTATTTGTTGTGGTAACTATTATAGACAGAAACATGGGACTGTTGTAAAGGGACAGACAACTGCCAAGAGACTTGAGAATTCCAGCATTTGACTTGTTCTTTGATCACAAAATGTCATATCAGTATTTGTTGGTGTCTCACTGGTGTTTGTGGTCAATGATGCAGTTAGGTGATTTTCAACTCTGACCATATTATAGAGGAAGTCTCTTGATAATGATTTGTGCTCTTTTATATCAATCTGGTAAACCACTCCTACTGCCTTTGAAGATTTCCTGATAAAGCTGTGAGTTCTGTCCTGATGGCGCCACTGTTTATAGCTCAGTAGGATCTTGTGAGAAAGTTTGAGCCTTCCTGCTGAATTTCAGGAAGATCCTAGTTGGCAACAGCAGCTGAATTCAGTGGTCTTAACTGGCTGAAAAAAAAAGAGATGATGCTGTGTTTTTCCAAACTACTCCTCAGACTTTTTTTTAAAAAAAATTACCTGCTGAGTCATTGTAGTAGTAACATGAACAATGCAGCAAGGCATAGATGGCTATAGTTATAACAAGCCAGACTCCAGAGACTTCTCTATTTTAAGCATGGGATAAGTGCCAGTAATAAAATTTCAAAATCCAGGAGCAGGATAAATGCTCTCCCCCTCCTGCCCCAACCACTTCAAGTTTAGATACTGAACTTTTCCTCTTTTCATATTAAAGGAACAGTGTAGTTTCTTCCTCTGTCTGTTAGATACCGAAAGCCTAGCAATCCCACCAGACGGGGGAGGGGTGGAACCTCTGAAAACAGGACTGGTAATAGCTAGAGCCTGTTACAAGATTGCTCTAACTTTTCAGCTGCAAATTTTGTCCAATCTGTACAGCGGTTCTGGTGAACTTACAGAAACCACCCCCTTCCCACCCCCAGCGGGAGATCGCTTCGCGTGAGCCCCGTGGCTAACGCCAGGTATAGGGGGGGGGAAACTAGATATTCCGGGCACAGTGCAGCCTGAAAGACCCTCCAGCCTCGCAGTTACAGTTCTTCCACCAGTATGAAGGGTCCGGCTTTCTGTAAAAGCGGGACTACTGAGCCCTGGCCCAAGATTAGGAGAACGGAACAGCAGAGAGAGGGGATTGCCTTGGGAAGCGAGTTCCCGTAGTTGCCGCGGACTGACACCTCCTCCTCCTCCTCCCCCCGCCGCCGCTGGTCTTTCGCCACTCGGGCCTGTTCCTTTAAGAGCCACCCCCGAAAGGACGTATTCGGTATTGCTTTGCAGACGATATCCGTGCGCTTGTTCGTCGGAGTGGCTGGACGAAGGAGCAGAAAGTTTACGGTTGGCAGGCTCCCACCCTGGGATGAGTGAATGAGTGGCCCGCTACTCCCGCCTCCTGCAGACGGTTTGCGGCGGCGTTGCGCTGGCTCCGAGTGGCACCGTCTCAGTCTCCCCCGGAGCGGAGGAAAAGCGCAGGAGTTCGTCCGCGCATGGCGCTGGTTACCGTCTGTCGATCCCCATCGGGGAGTGGCCACTCGACCCCCACCGGCTGCAAGGTGAGCCCCCCTCCAAAAAAACAAAAACGCCCCGTGCCTTTCACGCTGGACAGGACTGTCGAAGATGATACAGTCCTACATTCCGTTCTGATCCCGCCGCCGACCCTCCTTTCAGACGCTCTTTCCTCGGAGGACATTCGCGGTCTCTCCTTTCTGGGATGGGGGACCGAGGATGTTTGGACGCCTGTCCTACCTGGGGCCCCCTTCCCTGAGTGCATTTGGCTTCCATCTGTCTTATCGGTCACTGCAAACTGTGAGCAGGGTTTTGCAGAGAGTGGCCTCAGAGTTCACCATCTTGTTCGTGGAAAAAAAACCCCGTGTACTTGCAGTTTCCTTAAGGTCAGGGAAAACAAAACCTTGAAGGCTCAGGGGAGAAAGTATCCGATTTTAGCAGGCCTCTCTTTTTTTCCTCTGGTAATGTGCATGTAGAGAAGCAGCTGTGCTGGGTGGATGGGGAGAGGGGGAGCTTTGCCACACTCTAGGCAAAGTCTTTCCTCCTGGATCCCTGTGGATCCACACTCCCACTTACAGTATGGAAGATAGATGCAATCATCCATTTGCTTTACAATTGCCAAAAAGTGGCAAAAGGGTAATTATTATTATAATAAATTTTTGGCTACAGCTTCAGTTTCTTTAACATTAAAATGCCATCTTAAAATGTTAAAAATAACATTGGAAAAGATCTGTGCCATCCGTGTCTATAGTATAGAATACAGAATAGAGGGCTGGAAGTTATTCTGGGTGATCAGATGCACATGTCTGGACATGTGCTGGAGGAGTAGCCTTGGCTTCTGCCTTGTGCTGGGTGCTCAGAAGATGAGAGGCCTCCTGAGCAGTCCGGCTGCTGGAAGCCAGTTGATTTGCACTTCAGTCCTCTTGATTGCAGGGGTCAAAACAAAAACAAGGAAGTGATTTAGCTGCAAAAATACAATTTATAACATGTCTATCGATCTCTTTTCCAACAGATTATAGTGGTTTGTTGAAAGGTGCTTCCCTTCTCTTCCTAGACCGCTGCATTTCTATCCTGTCCTTGTATGGAAGCAGTTTGGGAAACTTGTCAAATTGTGGCCTTTCCTTGCATTCCCATTAATATACTATTTTCTCTAATCAGTTTTCAACAGCCCAAGTTTCTGTGGGAGAAGTAGGCAATAAGAGCTGCTTGTCAGTAAATTTCACAACATACTACTTCCTGTCAGCTCCTGACAGATTGCAACGTCAGAGACCAAGGAGTACTGCAGAACTATCTCTTGCATAATGTCCTTAAAGAGGAAGACTTTCCAGTCCATTACACCAATGTTGGGATAGAGCCTTGGGCTTCTTGCACCAGAACACCTGTGCCTGAGCTCACTTCTCAAGCCTGTGGGATGATCTTGAGTTTCAAGTGTAATTAGACATTGCACAAAGAACTGGCAATTAAGAAGTGGCACAAATGCTGTTCGTTTGCTGTTTTTCCCTGGTGCTTAGAAATGTCACAGGAAATTGCCAACAAAATAGGAAGCACATGGATAAGATTATGCAAGAGCTGGAATTCAAGGCCAATCTAGGAATCCTAAAAAGGGATGAGAGACAAGCAAGGGAACAGTGCCCAGCTGGCCTCTGCATATCTGTTTCCAAGTCTTTGGAAGAATTCCTGCTTTTGTGAAGCTATGGCACAGAAAGAAAATGTATACAACATGGGGCTTGCCAGGGCAGTTATAGAGCATTAGCCAGACATTGGGGCATATCTGGTGCTTGATTTGTTTTTGCTACTTACAAATCAAGAAGGTTGTTAAATGCAAATCTAACACTGTCTAATTGGAAGTATTTGACTTCACAGAGCAACAACATATTTGACTGGTAGAGAATAATGAGAACTAGAATAGCATTAGGAGCACGAGCCAGAAAGTTTTTTTGTACCAGTAATGTCACATAGCTGGAATCTTATTGCCTAGCCTTGGGCATTTAAAATGGGCAAGACATTCAGCCTCAACCTCACCATCTGCAATAATTGTATATAGGGCTGTTGTAGTAATTGCAAAAATAATAAATATGCAATACTTTAGATTTGAAGAAAGTGTTACTAGAATTCTAAAGGGTAACTTCTGTCTTGTTACATCATGCAACTTAACAAATAGGTCTCATTACTGGAATCGGGCACCTTGGCCTGCGACTTCATAAAAGAGCATGTGTTCCAGCCATTGATACAGATTAAGAATTAGCAAAGCTATGAAGGCCACAATTATAAGACAGTAACTTTTCTGTAAAATGAGCCCTTATTTGGATCCAAAAGCAAAAATGAATACAGCAGTCTTGTGCTCTGAACTGAAATTTAATCATCCTTCCTTCCTTCCTTTTAAAGATGGAGACAGAATTTCAAGATAGGAAAACAATCCTTTGAAATGTCTTATTAGATTTACTTTAAAAATGTGTGCTATCCTTCAAAGAAATGGTTTTTGTTTTTTTTTTTAATTTGATTTATATGCCGCCCTTCTCCGAAGACTCAGGGCGGCTTACAATGTGCTCAGCAATTGCTTCCAATGTTTCTTGCTTCCAATGCATAGTTGTTTTTTTCATATTGGTTTACCATAAAATGAGCTGGATTTGAAGCATTCCATATACAAATAGCTACTTCAAATGCTCAGTATTTCTTTAATTAAGAAAGCTTGGAAATATCCCATGGATCTGTCCTTGTATCATGAAAGTGTAGAACTGACTGGAAAGTGATATGTTGGGTTTAAGGTTTGTTGTTTTTTTTAAAATTTCTAGCTCTTTTCATGTCAGCATAAATTGGGAATATACTAATGTTGCTGTGAAATAGTAGAGAGAGAGGTGCTTAGCAAGATTTCCCAGGGATTGGCATTTGTTGCTGCCATAGCCAACATGCCTCCCTCCCTCCTTCCGCCATGTCTAGCTGAACAAGCAGAGCGAATGATCTAAGAGACAGCTATATAGATTGTGGGGCCAGAGTTCTGCAATGGAAGTCCTGTGAATGTTCAGGATTCTAATTGAAAAAAGAAGTCCCCAAAAGTATCTGTTTTTGCCGCAGAGGTATTAGAGATAAGAACATTATGTCATGCCAAGTTTTCTCATGCCAAGGCCAATGGCAGAAATAGTTGCTTGATGACTCCACATATTTGGATTGGACATTGTTTTCTTGGTACAAAGAAAATTCTGTCAGACCACTACTAGGGATAGATCCTATCAGTTATGCCTGTTCAGTGTTGACCCTTGATTTAAGCACCTAACAACAGTGTTGAATAGCCTTTGATTCATGTGAGCTTACCATTCCAATTATGTATGAGGAATGACTTGTTTAACTTATGAGACTGCATAGTTAATTGTTTAATGAGCCATGTTTATTTGTTGCGTGTTAGCTTATGTTAGGGTTTAAGTCATGTCCCACATTCCAGATCAAGAGCACTTACTAAAGTTTTAAGTGAAAGGCAACCTCTTGCGATTCCTGTGATTGTTGAATTAGAATTCAGAGCTTCTGCTTAA